AATTAATCAAAAATTTGGACTTACTTTAAAATGTAAACTGTAGCAGACTATTATAATATAATTTCAACAAGATTAATAATTAAACATTATTACAAATTTTTTTTGAAATACTTTTACTCTATATTAACAATAGCAGTAAAAAAATATATTTTTCTTGCTTGTCTTTAATAGGACAAATATCAAATAGATAACTGTTAATTTATTCAACTTGAATGAATTATTAAAAAGTAATAATTTAATTCAAACTTTAGTTTTAGAGATTGTTTTATTACAATTTTGTATATTAAATAGTCAAAAAATATCAAAGAATCTAAGATTCTTGTCTTTATGTCTAAGTCCTCCAAAATTAATTCTCATGGTCCTCTTCAGGTTTTAAAGAAATTCTTGAAAAGTTTTGAATTGTTTAGATTTAACTTTACCTTCTATTATGGTCAGAAAACTTTAAATTACCTTTTAAGGAGTACTATAAAATCATTTTATGAAGTTATTGGCTGCTTTCTCTTTGATTATATTATTCTTATTTCGACCTTAAAAATTATTAGAATATGTTTACTTTCTCACTTTTAAATTGTCTCTTGACACAGCTAATAAGTATTCTTTTAGGATTCTAAATCTTTTTTGGATTCTGCTTAGTTAATTTTAACGAGTTTCTAATATTTTCTAAATTTAAGGATGAGTACGAAATTTAACAGGAGAATCTGAATATTTTTAATTTCACACTATCTATTTTATCAAAAATCCTTGTTAAATATGCTAATAGTATTGAAATAACAAGTTTAAGTATATAAAAGCTATTGAGACTTCCAATTACGACATAGAAAGGCCAGATAATTTCATTAAGGTTTTGGTCTTGCGCTGAATGAATTGAGCAAGCTAAAACTATTGAAATGGCACATATAATGATCGATTATTAATCTAAATAATTCAATTATTTAGTCATGTAAGGATTTATTTATTTTGCATAATGACTGTAAGAAAAAAGCAACAAAAAAATTAAGGAGGCTTTGATTGTAATGAAATCATCATAATAAATGCGAACCAAGATTATCATCTCCTTTTTAAATATTTTGACTGTTTCCCAATAATATGCATTTTTAGTATACTCATGGTATAAGTATCCCCATGTCTTTCGAGTAATGGTCTTGTCGAGGTTATGTCTATTTTTGTAAACTCCATACCAAAGTATTGTTGGGATTGTAATACATAAAATAATTAACAGTGGAATATCAAATGCAATAATCCAGTTGAGATGAGTGGATGTATCATATCTATAAGCCACATTACTTGAAATCCATAACTCATCAGATATTTATCTATATGATAACAATGATATAAGCTATCCAATCAAACTAGGTTGTAGAAAAATGAACAAATATATAAGTGAAATCGTAAAAAATGAGAAGTTATGATTGATTAGCCGAACTGCAATTGCTAACCCTCCAAATCCTATAAATAAAATTACATAAGAGAAAGCCATGATAAAGCTCCAGATTATTCTGAAATATATGATCAATACATCTGCAAATTAAACTAAGTAACAGTCAAGTGAAAAGGCCATTGATTCAATTGGACTGGAGCAGCTACTAATAATTACCGATAACTCTGTTGGTAATTCTAGTTAAAATTTAAGGAGAGTAGATATGATTTATAAGTAATTAGTAAGAACTTTAATTAGGATTGCAGAAGATATTTGCTTGATTGGGAACTTAACTCCAAACAATCGTAATCTTAATCCTGCTATAAATTCCTAAATCATTTCTGTGGTGCTAGTAACAGAAATTAAAGTAGACAGTAATGTCCAAAAGATCACAAAAATGATATAAAGAATATTGTAAACAGTTACTTTACAATTTAAACATGAATATGCTGAACTTAAATAAAACGAACCTTATCCTCTACTATCATAAAGATCACATTATTCGCACAGAGCACCAATATGTCCTATTAAACAGGATTTATCTCCTGGGTTCCATCCTCCTTAGCAATTTTTTGGCATGTGGTAGCAATATTCTATAGCTTAACTATGGTTATATGCCCTCCAATATGTTGGTCTCAATTCAATCATTGAAGACTCTATCAGTCTGATTTTCATATCATCCTTAAAACTGCAATTTTAGGCATTTCTTGTGACTTAATATTAGTTTTGGAATTTATCACAAAGTATGCAGCCTCCTGTTGTTTTATTTAAAAACTCCCCAATCTAACATTAGAATGTTCTAATATCTACTAGCAACTTATAGTTAGTATTGTAACCCTAAATTAGATAAGGTGGTTCTTCAAAATACAACGGAACTGATATATGATGACATTGAATAGAAATCCTTAACACTAAATCCATATCATAATTGGGATTCCAATAGATAATTATATCATCTAAATTAAAATCACCAGTGGAATTATCAAAGAAAAAATGATATTTAGACAAACTAAAAGCAACTTCTTTAATTTCTTATTATGAAGTTACATTAAATGTTATTGGTTTTAGAGTGCAACTTGAATCATACAGACCCTTATTTTATTTGTTGAATTTATCCAATGCAATAATTCTAAAAGTTAAATTATAAGGAATAAAAGTGTTCGTATATTCATCAAAGTATTGATATGATGAAATACTTCGCCCTGAAGGAAGGGTTAAATAATTAACTAAGGATGATTATCCTAAAATTTTATAAGGAGCGACTGTTATTTATTCGATTATTTCCTCTGAGGTTTTTTTCACCAATTCTTTATTTAAGATGGTTTTGCCACCATCAATTGATATTGACAACGACCGTGCCTTTTCAAATACATTGTTACCAAACTAAGTTGAATTGTTGTCTGAAAATTCAATCTCAAATTCATTTATTAATTGAAGGGATTGATTCTTAAAGTAAACTGCGCCTGCTATTTAAGCTGTATTATTTATGAATTGACTTCGATAAAAATCTAATTATGCCTATTCAGAAAAATAATAAATGGCTCCTCCAAAATCTGCAGAGTTATTGTAGAATAAACTATTTTGAATCAAGATGTTAATTTCCTAAATAAATAATGATCCCCCGTTTTAGGCAGAATTATTTTAAAATACTCCGCCTGAAATAATAGCTTAATCATTTAATTAGAACTCAATTAATTCAAGTTTATTATGTTATAACAATCGATTATTTGAGAATAATTCATTTTGAAAGGTTAAATCACTAGGATTTTTCATGATTGACAAGCATCCTGCTTAACCACATTAGCAATTTTTAATTTTTATTGATGAAAATGCTATTTAATTTGATCTTTGTTGTTTAATATCAAAAATTTGAAAAATTCCATATTAGCAATTTTTACAAATCACATTCTACAATATAATATTTTAAAAAATAAGTTTATGAGTTTAGTCGATTGACTTAATAGTTACTAAACCTAAATTAATTGGTTGATATTTTAAGATCGATAATAAATTGCAAATTAATAATTACTGCTTTTTTTAGGTATCATCAGTTGGTTAATATGACCAGGATATTTAAGTTAATGATAAAGGACATTCTAATTCAGAACTTGCACTTAATTCCACATTTTAGCACTCCCCTCCTATGGATTTATCAGATTCCTATACATTTAAGATCTTAAGGTTGTTTATTACAATTTAGCCATTCAATTCTAAAATTTAGAAATAATATTACATTCTTTTAAGTTCAAATCAATTAGAGGAGATTACAAATATGTGCTATTTTAAATTGTTATGTTTTATAAATTGATATTATAAGCCTGTTTGATTTAGATTAAATATTGAAAATGAGATGATATGAAGCTACAATTTATTATATTTATAAACCCATCGTGAATATATATTAAAGGATTAGAATAAGCAACTTAAAAAGCCTCATTTTCTGTGAACTTATTTATGGATTGAATAAAATTGTCAAAACCCTGTTTTGTTGAATAGAAGTTTATATTTCTAAACATTATTTGAGTATTCAACGATCCTGTATTTGGAGGGTCATATGAGAAGAAGGAGTTTTACAAAGAAAAGCAATCCAATACTATTAAATTTTCCAATTCGATCGAATTATAGCTCTTGGAAGGCAAAATGTAAATTGCTCCTCCATCATGTCTGCTAAAGGATTCTTGTATTGTCGTATTCTTTATGACAATCTTTAATTGTGATTCAGAACCATCGATATGTAAACATCCACCTACCGAAAATGTTGAAGTATCTGATAAACTGAATGTATTTTAAAAGGATGAATTTACAATTACTATTTAACTTTTCCCTTGAGTAACAATATGGAAAGCTCCTCCAGTTGTAGCGTAGGATCGATTTATAACTAACTTATCAAAAATTAACGATTGGGTAATAATCATTCCATTTCCACTTAAAGACTTAATAGGGAAAATATTGGCCAAATTGATATTACTTAAATCTTAATATTCATGATGCAAGAGGTGACGACTTAGTGAATCATAAATCATGTCATTGCTATTTGAAAATCTACATGAATTTATTTTCACTTTAGTAGATTTGATATATAAAATAGAATTGCTTGAATTAGTAACAATATTTTATAGGAAATCCGAGTCTGATATCTAAACATATCCCTAATATAATGAGATGAACGCCGTAGTTGCTGATATTCTTGTTTAGTCCTGAAAATATTCATTAAGATGATTTCCAGTGTAGTTTAACTTTTAAAGAGTTATTGAGCAATTTTATTAAGATATGATGGATAGTAAAGCTGTTTATTTATTGGATCTAGTTATCAATAATAAATGTGAATAGAATATGATATTGAGAACTGTAATAACTTCTGACAATGATCCCTACATAAAATCATATCCTTAAAGGATGACGAATGGG